GCCGCGCCCGGGGGGAGGGGCGGCGGCAGCCGGTTCGGGCCGGTTCGAGCCAGTTCGGGGAGGGGAGGGGGGCTCATTTTCTAAGTGCGTAGGATAATTATCGCCAGCTTTTTTCACTCATAAACCAAGGATTCTTGTCTTAGTTCTGTGAGGGCGGTGCTGAAAATTTAGGGTAGCGCGGCTGTGAAGAATCCGGGCAGTCAGAGTCTTCGTCATGGCTGCGAGGACCTGAGTGTAGGCACCACATGCCGGCAAAAGCATGTTTGGGCAGTTTTGGGGAGAATAGTAGAGATCAGCCTGTTCTGCTGCTGCACATCCCTAGAGAGGCGGTTTGCAGGTAGAGCAGTACAAGAAATCTGCAAAATCTGTGCCTAAAAACGTGGTCTGAGTGACCAATTCTGATGACGGTTGGAGTAAATATGTGTATTACGTGCATGATACGTGTTCCAAGTATGGATTCAGTAGACTGCCTTAACAAAAAAACTAGGAGGGTTTTTTTTGGTCCTCCTCTCCCCCCCCCCCCCCCCCCTTTTGGTATGTTTTTGTTTTGAAGAAGAATCTTTGGCAATCAAGATTATGAGAGGTCATGAAATACATCTCTTTGTCTCTGAAATTGTAGCAAAGTAAATTTTAGATAGGCCCCTTAACTCGATTAGTAGATGCTGTTTATGAACAGAAACAGTTCTACGTACCTGAAGAGATAGGCACTTTCCTTTTGTAATAAAAAGAAAGACTGACATTAGATTTAAAATATTTTAAAGTGAACATCTGTGGAACACAGAATCATTCTGCTTATGAAAAAAGGCCTCAATAATTCATTGTGGCTTCACTTGCTCTGAATTACGAGGTCTTGCCTTTACTTACAAGCCTCTATATTTCACAGATTCATCTGGCTCTGAAAATTGCTCCTTATTTACTCCATATAAGGTCTTATATTTTTCACAACTCCTATCCAATGACAGGACTTACTGAGTGAGACGGGAGAAACATGATGGAGATGTTGCTGTCATCAATATTTCTTATACCACATGAACCAGCTATGTCAAATCTATATACTATGATCCTACATAGTTTAATATTGCCTCAAAGTGTCAGAAGTCTTTTAAAGATTCGTTTTTTATCTTGAGAACTAAGGAGGCGGCATGGTAGTGACAATTTTTAGGCATTGGTGTAACAGTTATATTTTTTTAAAAAGCCTGTTAAGCCAAGACACAGTTGTTTGTTGCAAGTAAGTCTGTGACTCCATTGGAAAACTTCTGTAAGCATTTTCGAAGTTACTCAGTAATACGTTTTAATAGGATTGGTTTCATAACCAACTTGAGGCCATGCCCAATCCTAGGCCTTAGCATCCCTTCACCTCGGGCATAGTTACTGCCAAATTTGAGCACTTTAAAGCTGGAAGGCCTCCAGGCCAAAGTCCAGCAAGTAGCTGACTCCTGTCCACATTCCAGTATATTTTACACCCCTCTTTTCAAGCAGTTCCCTCAAGATTTATGCGCTTGTTTTTTGTTATCAAAAGTTACACATTTGTTGTGCAACAACGTATAACTTTGACATTTGTTGAGTAAAACCTGTTAGTGATACAAGAAAATTGGAAGCCTAGCTCTTAATCTGGATAGGGTTTTTAAAGCAATTTTATTTCAGAGAGTTCTCTGCAAACTGTCTGGATTTGTTAAAATTGCTACATGAATTAATTATTACTGTAGATCAATATCCCTAAACACAGATTTGAATTATGATAGACGTTGCCATACACTCTGATAGTCATATACATTCTTGGAACACATATTTGGCATTTTCCTACTGGGCGGCAAAATATGCTTGTATGCCTGCACGAGCACAGGCCCCTCACCTCAGGAGGCAAGGTTCAGATCCTCAAGGTATGTCTTGACCTAACGATTTGTATACTTGCCTCATGGGGTTTACAGAACTCCAAATTTGGTTCGATACTGAGCTGCCATTGAAAGTCATGGGATTTAGCATACATCCAAATGCCTGACAGCTTGCTAAGTCTGCCAGCCTGCATGGCACCGGCATGCAGATACCATAGGGTTTCTGTTGCAGCGAGAAGCTGGCTTCCTGCAGGGCTTGTTCTGCGCTGAAAGGGCAAGTAGGACTCCTAGGGTTTGGAGCATGAGCTGCTTTTACAGAGGTACAGCTGCATACCAAAAAGCTCTGCGTACCGTGTATCTTGTGATGTGGGTGCATAGAGCTAGATCAAGTATCAGACCCCGCTGCTTCCTGACCTAAATTCTGCAGTACGATGCAGACATATATACATTTAACTCCACTTTGTAAACTCAGCTGTAAGTTCACAGCAATTAAAATACACAAACACTCAGCTCTACAGAGGTTCTTTTCTATGAGACAACAAGTGTAATTAAGTTGTGTCCAGGTGGGTGGTGCTCAAAAGCCACGAAACTGCTTCGTTGCTTAATAATGTGTTTCATTAAATCTGCTTTATGCTGCCAATTTCAGGAGCCAACTGAGGAGTCTCTTCACCGAGAGCTGGAAGGTGCTGGGCGATCAAGTCTGTGGTAGAAACAGGATGGTGTAACTGAGACAAGATGAAATCTGTAAACGTTTGGACCTTGAATCAGTAACACTGCAACGAAAGCCAAAGGCAGGAGTCCAGTTGCTCCGGGTAGGCTTGTCTTTGAAACGACAGTGCTTCCTTACATACCATATATGTGGTAAAGTCTCTTAGGGTAAAAGCTAGAATTCTTCTTTTGCCTAAAACCCACACCCACCTAGGAAAAAAAAGTAATGAAAGGTCGGTGCTTGAGGCAGTTATGCATTGTTTGCACACGCCCCATGCAAAAAGATAATAGTATGACCTTGGGAATGTGCGCTGGTCCAGACCATCTCTTAAACTTAATCCCCAAGGTCTACATCCAAAGGGGAAGTCATCTCACCCTATAGTGAATGTGATTTGGAGGCAACATAGACACGTAGCTTAAACCACACACCTATTTTTTAGGTGGCCAATGGACAGTTAGTTGAATCCAAGCAGCATGAGTAAAATTGTGTCCTGTGCTGTGGCCAGAAGAAAGTCCACGCTCCACAGAAATCTCAGAATTTGCCTAGTGCATGGGTTATCTGCACTGGGCCAAATTTTACCAAGCAGTTGTGCATGCTGCATGCCCAGCATCACTGAGCCACAGGACATGGGGCTTGATCGAGCCCCTTGTGTGCAGAAAAATTTGCTGCCGTACAAGCTAAAGAACCTGCTTAATGCCAGTCTAGCTGGCTACAGTAGATTTGTAGTGTTTTCTTTTGAAAACAATTTCTCTGTTGTTTTCACACATTTTTTCCAGATTTCAGAGCAACATCACAGGATGCGACACATCACAGGGAAACATATTATATTAGAAAACCAGAAGCTATTAACCTGAAGTACAACTTTTTACTCACACTGAATTAGTGAGTAGCAATTTGGGCTTTGATCAGAGCTTCAGAAGCTATGACAATTCACATGAATGACTGCTTCCTGGTGGTCACGTGAGCTGAAAACATCAGTTAAGCCTAAGTGAGGAGCTGCTAGCTTTGAGTTCTAGGATAGAGAAGTCATCATTTATTATATATTTGTATTGCATTTGAAGAAAAGTCTCCCCGGTCAAGTACCTGCTTTGCTCGTGGCTGGACAAACGCGATAAAAGTCTGTTTATGTCCAAAGATTTTACAATCTGAGAGTAATTCCACACGTACAAGTATTAAGCTTTAGTTATACTTGTGCATATGAATAGGCTCTGTGACTTCAGAAGGCCTAGTTTGGGGCTTAAAGTTAAGCTTGTGGCTTTACTTTCAGGTGCAGTAACTGAGTGAAACAGGGAAGGGAGGTAGTAGCACAGAGTATTTTTGCATAGACTGGAAGTGTGCACAGGTGTTTGCATGGTAGTTCCGGGGCTTTGTCTGGTGTTTTATGTTTCATTTGGCTGCTAAACGAGCCAACTCAGTATTAAAACTCCTGTTAAAAGGAGCAATGATTATTTTAATCAATGAATGCATCTGCCACACAATCAATACATCAACTAAGCACAAGACAGTGAAGTTATCTCTCAGGATATTTAGTCAGCAGACTTCTAGAACAAACTTTACCTACGCTTTATTCCCCAGTGCGGTGTCTAATTTTAAACGCTGTCATGCAAAGAGCCTTCTGTGTCAGCCTTTGATATCAAAGACTGTTCTGCAGTCTAATAGATCTCAATGTTAGGTCTTTTTCCTGAATGCCTCTTAGATTTTCTACGGGTAATTTCATCTGATTATTTATAACCCTTATCCTGCCCTAAATAATACCTCTCCCTTCACATACAAATTGTTATCTAATTCCCTATCGTCATTATTCTGACCAAACCATACGTATTTAATTTGTTTTTCTTTACTTGTAAGTTAGTCCTCTCTGGCTTCTAAAGATGAAGTCAATATAATTATAAGAGACATTCTGGTTGAATTATCTTTAGATTTCCCTTCTGTCATCTGTGTGGAAAAATGTGAACAGTGTGCAGGGCATGGTTTTTTTAAACTAAACTTTATATTCATTAAAGCATCAATAACTGCTGTTTTCAGTGTATTTACTTTTAGTTCTGTACCATCAAATGGTGATTTTGAGGTCAGTGCAGTTATAGCATTTTAGAATTTGGTCCTTTTATCTTGTCCTAATTTTTCTTTTTTTACTGTGAAAAAGGACAGTGGAAATACTTCAGATGGTTCTTGAGGAGAAATGAGCAAGTTGAAGAGAGATGATGTCAAGGAGATGAGGTGGTTTGGGTGGGAAACCACAGGACATGGAGCCACGGACACAGCACAGATGGGCTATCCACACCGGCTAATCGGCCCGACTTCCTCATGCAGATGGCACTAAGGCTAGAACTGTCTTCATTTTTGAAGAATAAGAACTACAGTATGAAGCCAGTATTCATTCTTGGTATTTGCAGTGTGTGTTTGGAGGTGATTTTAAGTCAAATGACATACGGTAATGTTTGGAACATGAAGTGAGACTTTAAAATTGGCCAATTTTAACAAACCCTCCTGTATCATTAATGGATTAGATGAAGTCTCAGCTTGGACAGACTCAAAAAGACAACTTTTTTTGGTGGTTCTTTAAAATTTAGCAGGGCAGTCAGACCTCTGCCTTTGCTTTCTTACATAGATATATATTTTCCATCTGAACCTGAGAAAAAACTTCTTCCCTGTGAGGGTGACAGAGCATTGGAACAGGTTGCCCAGAGAGGTGGTGGAGTCTCCTTCCCTGGAGATATTCAAAAGCCGTCTGGATGTGATCCTGGGCAATATGCTCTAGGTGACCCTGCTTGAACAGGGAGGTTGGACTAGATGATCTCCAGAGGTCCCTTCCAACCTAAACGATTCTGTGATTCTGTGATATATATGCATACACCGACTATAATTACAGCTTAAGTGTCTCCCTGAGATATTAGTTAGTTTTAACAAAATATGTGCAAATGTAACAGAAACTACTGTGCATTCTTTATCATTCCTTAGCTTTGTTTTTTCTCAGTGTCTCTTAAGTAGCTAAGGTCCATCAAATAAAGAAGACCACCAAATAAAAAGTCCAGGTAATCGCTGTATCCAGCATTTATGGTGTGCTAACTTCTCCAGGCAACGCCAACATTTGGGATGCCCAGAACATCTTGGTTAGCTGATTCATGAATCAGCATTAAAAAATACAACTGAAGCCACAATTTATTTTTAGACTACATAGACAGGAGAAGCAGAAGCTCCCCTCATTGGGAAGCAGCTGCATCCACCAACCCACCCAACGTGGTGCTGGTGTGCCTCGCAGCTCCATCTCCAGAACAACCCTTTGACAGCCTCCCTTCCCACCTTAAGAGCTACAGGGGAGGACACTGAGCCTAGGTGAAAGCTCTTCTCTACCAGCCCTTCACCATCTCACAAATTCTTATGCACCCTTTTAAAATACGGCTCACTGTCACTAATTACTGCAGAGAAATTTTTCCAGCAGAAAAATGTTCTGTTTAAATATAAGAAAATGTATTTTTTTCTGTATCACTCCAAAAATAGAACAACATCTAATTAAATATTTATTGAGGCTTAGCAAGGTCAATAAAGGAACTGTTGTCAAGAAGCCTCCAAAGCATGGACTCCTTACAGTAAAGAGCAGTGTTTCAAATACGGGTCAAGGAGGGAGCAAGTGCAAGAGGCAATAACTGAACGCGTACAATTCTGAGACTCCCAAACATGCAAGATTAAATTATGCCTATTACCATGGACTTTGCAGCCATATAGTGTTAAAAATAGCTGTATTAGGAAAGTAGAAATCTCCATAGACATAGCCAAAAATAACCGTATGAAATGCCTGAAAAGAACAGATTCCCAGGAGGTGGGATTTCTGGACTCTTGGAGGAAGTTTCTGTTACAAAGCATCATGTAAACATGAAAAACACTCCACAGCCTCTAGTTGTTGCTGAGTTACATAAATTATAGCAACGTTCAACCCTGGAGCTATATCAGCAATAGTCCTATAAATCTGTCAGGGTTCCTGTGTTGTCAGAATTATCCTGTGAACGTTGTGAGCGCTATGTGAACTGTAGGCAGACAGCATGCGCTTTCGCTGCCCTCCCCATCCCAGGCCCGGGGATTGCTCAGGGACCTAGGAGCAGGAGTGTAGGTAACGTGTGCTCGGCTCTCCAACATTCACGCTAGCAAAACCAAATTATTTCTTGAGGAACGTGATTCTTCGTCAAACACCCTATGACAGGAAATAGAAGAAACCATTCACAGAAATGAGAATATTGACCATAAAACATCAGCACAGGACTGGTTTTAGGTAGAAGCAATATCAATGAATATTTAGGGTTCTTATTTTTTGGTGATCCACAGGTCGTGCAAGCTCTGTCCCCTTTCACAACCAGACTAAACCATGGAAGGAAATTCAGGTGATTCACTTTGCTGCAGCTGAACTGACTCTGAAATCTGACTCTTCCACCAACAAGCAACCTGGGACCTTCACAAGCCCTAAAGCTGTTCCTACTGTAAGTTCCTAAAGCTGTCCCAAAGCTATATTCTCACATCCACTTTCCTAGCTGTAGGATCTCGGGTCATTTCATAACCCATCATTTAACTCCAATACTGTTACCTCCTTTTGGCCGCTCTTCTTTGCAAGAGGTGCCTTGTCAGGCCCTTACCTCATTCCCAGTAACGGGGCAGTGTATGTGATTTGCCATTATCCCCGGGGGCACAGCTCCCTCCTCGTTTTGGGCGTTAAGAGTCTTCTCCCCCGGATTATGCTAACACGGGTGCAGAGCAACTTCTCAGAGTAACCCAGCGGACACGGCCACTGGGAGGGCTTGCTGTAGCCTTGCTTGCCAGGGAAGCCAGGAGAGCTTCAGTGCCTCTCCAGGCTGGAGAATTTGTAGTTTTTGAGACTGAGATCTGTAGCTCCTGGTACCACAGGCAGCACACAGCCTTAGCTCTAATTTATCTCTCTCTTAACTTAGGAGAAAACACAGCTGGATATGATCTATGAACTTCCTAAAGTTACACATGCATCCATTATACATGAGAAAATACCAGCAGAGATAATTATACCCATAACATTTAGATAAAGCAGATTAGATCATAACACTATAAACATTTGTGGTTCTATACACTGAAAATCTGCCAAATACAAGATGGTTTTGCCACTGGATCTGAAACGGAACATTTCTCCTTAAATGTCTTTGAAGGCTTAGTTCTGTACTGCCGAAGAAAGTCATGTTCTGTGAGTGGACTGATTTTTAGGAGTTTTTTCCCCCATCTTTTGCCTGTCTATGCATATTTCACAAGTCACAGTCTGCTGCTCCGTTTAATATAACATACAGCTCCACAGCTTCACTGGTAGCAGAGGAAGTGTAGTTTTCCATAACGGATTGGAATTCAAATGAGAAGCCAGGTGCTACATTGCAAGCCAAAATTAAAATAAAACAAAAATAAAATTTCTCCCTGTCTCTGTTAGTGAGTTGGAATAACATCTCATGAAGCTGTAACTCATTTTAGGAAGCAGCAACAGGAGGAAATACAACCTGCAGAAGAGAGTAAAACGGCACATTCTTGCACCATCTGCTGGTAGCATCTCCACAGATAGACATACCTACCTAGAACAGATTTCATAAACCCTCTCACCTCTGGCTGGATACATCCACATTTAGAGATATGAGACCACAATTATAAAAAATTAAAGATGCAGATGAGGTTAAAAAACATCACCTAGTACAAGAAGGGGGCTATAACTGGATCAAAGAGGGGAATGTAGTCAAAGAAAACTAATGCTTCTGTGAGCAGACTGCAGGCAGTCTGCTGAAATCGTAGCTCCAAAACGTCATAGCGTCAAATGCCCTTGCTTGGCTTTTAAAGAGGTTTATAACATGTAGCATTTTTATCCATAGGAGCCCTGCTAAGCTAAGGGATCACATTTCATCAGAGTGAAGGATGAAACCGCAGGAGCGGGGAGGAAATGCTTCTCTCGGTGCAGCCTGGCTCTGTTCAGAAGGGTATTACGGATTTTTAGCAGGAATTACACAGACCATCTCTTGGACTGGACTGACAAATCCCATACGGCTGAAAATCCAGAAAGCCAGAGCTAAAGCAGAGAACGACTGTACGTCACTCCTCTGTAAGTGTTCGCTTTCATATGCAAAGCACACACACGAGGGAAACTGCATTCGCTCTTCATCACACATAAGCTCAGAGTCATGCACACACACATACACGCTCACTTGGTAGATCTCACACTGTCTTACCATCCCTGCAGTGGGTTCGCCAGCAAGTGTTGCCACCAGGGTGGGCACAGACGTGCTCACAGCAAGGGCTCTGTCCTGGGCCACTGCCTCTAGTTTGAGCAACCTGTTGCTACTGGCATGGGGCTTGGTGCAGGCTAATTTACTCGATGTCTCACCAAACTGCTGTCTAGACCTACCCTTTGTCTTGCAGCTGTAATTTCTGGCACAAGCCCCCTGCCAGCTAAATCTATTTATTGTGCAGTATTTTTCTTCTGCCTCTTTTTAGTGCAAAAACATATGAAAAACAGTCACACCCTAATACTCAGATAAGAAGCGCTTTCGAGATGGAAATGACTTGTAGGAACAGAAAAAAGAACAATGACAGTAGATTGATGGGAAAATGATAATTGTACTTTACCAGATCTAAACTGAAGTAAGAATTTCCCTTTCTTTTAAGTAGATTTGGGATGTATAAACAAATATCTGAATTCCAGTTATGGCCGTACCAGTGCTGACTACATAAAAGCAATATCATTTATTGTTTATGCTTGCAAAGCCATAGCAATTTCTTTTAGGCAACACAGCTGTAACAAATTGATTTGACAGGCAAGCTCACATGTTTTGATTAGAACATTGCAAAAGTGATCCATGCATCATACGAAAAATATGCATTTTCCATACCTGTTTGGCGGTTATTGGATGTGCACAGCTCAGAACAGAACTGAGCTTTCACTTCTTTGAGTGAGCATGAGGTTGGTTCCTGGCAGTTTCGTCTTCTCTTTCTCCCAGCCCTGGGGGTCCCATCTACCCTCCAAGTTTTTTCCTCCCTGCATCCAGCTGGTGCGCTTAGGGAAGCATAAATGCCTGTTTGGAGTGTGAAAGGAGGCACCTAGCTAGGGAAACATCGTAGAGAACTGTGTTCCAGACTAAAGCATGGCACATGGGTGTTTCCAGGTATTATGACAGCACGATCCGTAAAATATTCCCAAATAGACCTACTTTGCCCTGTCACTATTTGTATTCCTGTAGCACCCAGAAATTTCTTGCAGAAGCCTTTTGCTCCGTTCACACCACGAACCAAAAAGCGAACATAGAAGATCATAACCACGTCAAACAAGTGAGTGTTGATGTGGCAAGATTTTAGTATTTGTAGACCCCATAAAAGGCAGATCTTGCGAGCACAGGAAAGAGGAGTACTTTGCAGGGAGCCTACAAAAATGGATGTTGGCACCACTGTAACATACTATAGAACAATAGTGATTTTATACTGTGTTTCTAAAATGACTTGATCACATCATGCCCCTGGACCCATCATTGCAGATTTTGAAAATTACATGAATAGCTACAGCTGCTACAGAGCCTGGATCCCAGCCTGATCTTTCCTGCTTTGTCTGCCCCCCCAGCAGAAGAAACACAGGGCAGGAGTCTCTCATCCTGCATTCCTGGCTGTTCTCTCTCTGGAGCTGCAGGGAAAAACCACAAACACCACACTGCAGAGCAGGCAGGGGCAGTGTCTTCCACAGGAATTAATACCACCACTGGAGGGAAACCTATTTCTCCAGGGAATCCTTTCTTTAGCATCTGAACTGCTGCTTCTTTTGAAGATAATTGGGAGTCATGGGTTTCATACAGGCAAAGGATATGCAATTTCTGCATGACACAAGCCATATCAAATTACTGTCGTTATGATTACTTGTATTGAGAAAGACTGCTATGAGCATCCCATGTCTACTAAAAAGTCTGGAATCTAACTCTGAGCTTCCATACCTCTAATTCACCCGCTCCTCCTGCCCCTGCCCTGTTCTCTCTTCCTCCCCATGGATTACAGGCAAATAGGAGGATCCAGTCCTTGTCTTACAAAACAGAGGTAAGGAAAGCTAAATGTTTCAGGCCTTGCAAGACCGTAGGGAACCAAATTTTCTTGTTGTTTTCACCTCTTGTATTGACCTCTGGAAGTGAGATCATTTTAAACCTGAGCTGGTGCCAGTTCCTAAGCAAGCGCCCGATGCGGAGAGGTCAAGGCTGGAAGGACTGGCCAGGCCCGCTGACCTCTCACCGTGGAATTTCACCTAGTGATTTCTGCAGCAGAAAGAATTCCCCTAAGTGCGTTTTCTGGCTTGAAAAGTAATTTTAAGTATCTGTGGCCTGACAAATAAACATTTCTGAAAGCTCTTAATGATTCATAAATTTTCCTAAGAATAGCTGAACTGTGCAAGACCAAAAAATGTAGTGGGGGATAACTGTCTCTAACACTGCTCAGCAGTGGATCCTAAAGAAAGCCGTATGAGAAAGGGAGATAGTGTAAATAGACCATGTCTACATTTCTTGCCATCCCCTCCCGGCTCCTGGCAAGCAGCATTTCAGAGACTTCTTGAACTGTCAGGTTCAACAGCCATTTCAGATCTAGCCTCAGCAAATTCACCTAATCCATTTGTACACAATTTATAATGCTTCATTTAAACATACAGCAAAGTAAGCATTCCTAGTTTATGGTACTCATTTAAAAGTACTGTTATTCTCTCGGATTAAGAGGGACAGAAGAAGAACTTAACACAAGTCCTATGCATACACGTTACACTTTTGAACGTGTAAAAATCCATATGAGGGAGATGTTCTTTGTTTTTAAGATGTCATGCAAGTAAAACCTGGAAAAGCAAAAAAAGAAACTATTCTTTATTCTGTTTGCTCAAAAGTGATTTTTTGGTCCTTGCTCCCAACCTGCTGGCTTTTCTGTATGATAGCCACACTTGCAGAAGTTCATGTGCATACTGTAAACTGCCACCTTCCTCCACGACACAGACACAGACACACACCCCCCCTTTTTAGAGCTTTAATCTAACAAACAAAAGAAAACACAAGTTTAGCTGAATGTCGGTGTCTATAAGAGCTTCCTCTGGGTGCCCAAAGTGTCTACTGCAAAAGCCTCTTTGCAGTCATTGAAGGTGAAGGATCCGCCATGGCTTTGGCTATAAGCCTAAACAAGTGGTGTTTAAGATGCACCATCCAGAAGCAGTAATGAAGGATACTTTGGCTCAAAGGCCAGGTCTGCACTTTATAATAGGTATATTGTTTGGGAACATGAGAAGAAAATAATTTAGGAATCGATCTCTCACCTCCATCAGGCAGTAATGCCAGAAAAAATAATTTCTCTTGCAAATATGATGAAATAGGAATACTTTTGTCAGCTTAGCTTTGGGACCACTGATCACTGCTAACCTTCAAATGTGCTTCCCTTTGGGGCTATATACCTTCTTGGAGAACTTTTAACTGGGAATGTTCTACGGGCCAGATGGACACTATCTGTAGCATGTGACTCACAATATAATATGGCAATTTATGCCATGGGAGAGGTAGTGTAATTATCCCAGCAGAGGAAAAGAAATCTTTCTGATATCATGACCCATCTCCGCTGGGCCGCACAAAAATCGCTCTACCGGGAGTGGCATGGGTTCTCTTCGCGTCAGCAAGCCAAAGGATCCCTTAAAACTCACTGTTGTCACTGGATTCTTTGATGCACTGGCTGGAAATTTCTTCCTCTTATTCAGCATATCAACCCATCAAGGAGGAGTGAAAGCAAGACCAAACTGTGTGCCTACCTTGTCTGTGCAAAGCCCAAGTAATTCCAGAGTTATATAATGGGAATTTTTTTTCCTACTCATTTAATAGGAGCATATTCCAGGCCACAGGCTAGCTGTGTTTGAACACGCAGTTCATCTTACGGTTCACGGGGCTCTTATCTTGCCAGCAAACAGGCAGAAGAGGAAACCTGGCCGTTACGTTGCATCACCATGTTGAGATGCCGGACGTTCATCCTGACCCAGGCTATGGCTTTCTGGTGAGCAGAAGCAATTGCTCTTCTAAGCTGACCAAGTCATTGTGATTTACTTCAGCTCACCTCCTCTTCCTCCTCCTCTACATGCTCAACACACAGCAGAAGTCTCTCTGAGCCCCTGACACATGTCGCTATCTGTTTTACAGCCTGGAGATGAAAACATAAGGGCTACAAATCCCACTGTTGGTAGGACCCCGGGGCTCAAGACTTTGTTCCGATTTACAGCGTTTCCCACCCGGATTTGAAAGGTATTTAGGATCCCCTTGAAGGAGCTGGGAATTAAAGCAGGCCACACTCCTACTTAGCCCACCTTGAGTTCATAGTCCAGGCCTGCCTCTGCGCATCGCGGCCATGCAGCTGTCCTCAGCGTCACTGAGCTGCGGCTCTGCTGCACCCCGGGCACCTGGGAGCCCAGTTTCAAGTTCACCTCCAAACGTCTTGAAACAAGCGAAATCACATGCTTCACCCTAAAGACGAAGCTCAACACTACCCACTTCTTCAAGGCACGTTCCTGGTGCCTTGAAAGGTAATGTCAGTATAGCACTGTGCTGCAAGTGGGCAAATCAAGAGCATGTAAATCATGAGGTGGCTCAAAACCTCAAGCTTGAATTGCATTTTCTGTACATGTTCTACATTAAGTATCACAGTAAGGTATAGATAAGAGGGACCACTTTATAACAGACAGACTTGAACTGCTGAGACAGAAAGCAGCTTGTCCCAAATACAAGAAAAGTTCTTCAGTTACAGTCCGTCGCTGCAGACTTCCCCTGTCCTCCCTCCATTCTTGAGTGTCCTCTGTGCAAAGAGGATTAGTGGTGGGGTTAGAAAAGTATACATAAAGCATAAAAGAAAAAGAAACCCAGCACAGTAATGTATTCATAAGGAGGGGGAAAAAAAAAAAAAAGATTTGTATGTCGGTCCTCGC